GTAAAGCTAGAATGGCCTCCCGCGTTCCTCTATTTCTTCTAAACCCAAATTGATCTTCCCCTAATAGTTCTTCCGCCCTTTTTTCCATCCTCCTCTGTACAATTCTAGTTAATATTTTTATATATTTTTTTTGTATATTTGTATATGGTTTTTATTTATTTTTCAAAACTTTTCGTTAGTAATAGTGTAATTCATAATGGAGTTCTTTCCTCCACCTGGTAGGATTGTAGATACTAATATACCGGGCGTTCTATTTTTAGTGGCTGGAAGTAATTCCAAGTCGTCGAAGAATGTCTGATCCAGATTACGACATACCAAGACCCCACACATCTCTCCAATTCAATAATCGTGATAAACTTGCGCCGGAAAATCTCATGCCAGCAACTCAATTTTTTGGACCAGTTTTATCTTCACCCCCAAAGTCCAGCAGGTAAGTAATCCTTAACAGATAAATTTTATTCAATTGTGTAAATGTGATAAATGCTCTATGTCGACTATGTCGGGCTGAAGGGTTAGATTCAGGCCCAGACGTTTCGTCGGCAGCTATCTTCAGTGGTTGACACAAGTATACACCCAGGTGGGGGTCATTAGAGTGGGTATAGATTGACCTGTGATATTTTTTCTAACCTTATTGTCATGTTTATTAAATGTAGGAAGTCATAACTCGTTTTGCAAGAAGACAAAAAGGAAAAATTAATTTAGTTATTTAATTAAAATTATTTTGTCGCACTTATTAGAGGCAGAAACAGAAGTTAGGAAGGGTAGAGGTAGACCTGGGTTAGATTAGTGTTCACAAATAGTTAAGGATGTGGGCTGTTCTAGTTTTAGGGAAATGCGAAGTTTAGCTCAGGATAGGAAAGAGTGGAGGTACGTGTGCAACCAATCTTAGGACTGACGACCTTATGATGATGATGATGATTATTATTGTAATCGAATTGAAGCCTGTCCTAACTAGACCTTGACTATATGAGCCCCCCTGACTTGGGTTGACATCCTGTATGATGGTTGTACCTCGATGTTTCGTTGGTACTCGATTTAGTACTNTCTTAGGACTGACGACCTTATGATGATGATGATGATTATTATTGTAATCGAATTGAAGCCTGTCCTAACTAGACCTTGACTATATGAGCCCCCCTGACTTGGGTTGACATCCTGTATGATGGTTGTACCTCGATGTTTCGTTGGTACTCGATTTAGTACTCGACGTTTTCCAAATTTATTAAAGGCAATATGAACATTGAATTCTGGTAGTTCTGGACATGTATGTAAATCAAAAGTCTCAATGGGCGTTAAGTCGTAAAAAAACATCCTTTTGACATGTGGTCCCTTGAAGTTACATTCTCTTGTATGAACTTCCAAGGTACAATTATACCTTTCATACGAATTGAATATGTTCAAGTATGCATATGTTGATGTATTTTACCTACGTGTATTGCATATTAGAGATGTGTCATGGTTATAGACCGAGAATGATAATGCACTATGCTAAAGTATAATGCACTTCAACGTCTTAGTGTAGGTATTTATGGGAAAAAAATGTTGGTATACTCAGAAGTGAAATTAGACACCAACATAGAATCTGTTGTTTGCAGTTATATGCAGTAACAACTCTGTTAGTGACCGGTTACACCTCTGAGTATACCAACATTCCCCATAAGTACACTATGACATTGAGGTGTACTACACTTCCGCAGAGTTCATTACCATGACACCTCCATAATATGCAATACATATAGATAATAGATCAACATATGCATATATGTACAATTGAACGTATTCAATACGTATAATACGTAAATGTTCGTGGATTTAACAAGCTTTTAAGAAGAGAACTATTTATTTACACTACTGTTACTGTTCACTGTTCTATTTATTTCACTTCTATCACCGTCTTATCTCTTGATTCACCTCTGCAACGGTTAATTTATTTCTACTACTCTTCGGCGATCGTCTCTTCCTTTTTATACTCCCTTGCCTCCTTTCGGGAACATTCTCCAGCCGTCCAGAGAAGCCTCGTTTTCTTTGAACGGTTTAATTGCTTTCCCGGAACGCAGGTACGACACACACGTCTACAGATACGGCGCACATGAAGAAAGGCGCCCGCGGCTAGTCGGCGAATCGGTAAGCCGCTCACACACACGTATGCCCGATCGTACACAATCACGCTCGTGGTCCCTACGATAGGTATGATTGTACCTTAGACTTAGAAGTCCTTGGAAGAATGCAATTTTAAGGAACCATATCTCAAAAAGATAAGTTTTTACGGTTTAGCATCTATTGAAACATTTGGTCTACACGTGGAGAACAACCTACTGTTATCGATTATCTCTATTCGCTTCGTCTATACTAGAAATTCATGAACTATGATAAAACACTGATAATTTTAGAGGTTTGTAATGTGATGTCGTAAATAAACACATTTTTTTGCGCTTTGCAAACAAACCCTGAACCCTACGAGATAGATCAAAATAATATACTACAGTATTGTACACTTTAAAAATGTCTACAAAAAAGTCCGTGCTGGTATATGTCTATCTCTTAGGGATAACCAACAATAACCATTTTTTATCCTTTACTTTTTACGAGAAATAATCCAATTAAGTACTTTTAAATACATTGTGCATTTAATATAGATCAATATGGCCCTTTACAGCATGTAATTTAAATGAATATTTTCGAAGATATTACATAAATGCAGGGACATAGCGGTTGCGGCGGTACCGGCCGGTTTGTATTGTCTAATGACAAAAAAGCTGTGATTGTTGTATATAAAGACATTCTATAATATATTTACTATCAGCATCGCACCCGTGCGAAGCATAGTGTACAAATAATACCATTAAACCAATTCCTTAACCCCTATCCCGGTATGTTTGTGTGTTTGAAGAAGTTTCACTTTAGTAGCGTGTTGTATAATTACACGTTGAATTTTTTTTATTATTGGGCTTTA